GCTTGGGCCTGTCGGCGGGGAGGTCGAGGCGCCCCCAGGCCTTGTCGAGATCGCGGAGCTGACGGATGAATAGGTTGGGGCTCAGCATGTGCGATGGCGGCAGGAAAATATCCCTCGACCGCGCGGCGCCGATATCGTAACACACGCTGTTCTCGCTGAAGGTGGCGCCGCCCGCAAGGAAGACGAGGGGGGGGGTGCCGGTTTTCGGGAGTTTTCCGGCCCGACGCGGCCCAGTTGGGACGGCGGGAACCGGAGCGACCCCCCCTGCGCGGCGATGAGGTCTTCGTTGGGGTCCATGGGCGGCTTCATATAAGGGAACAAGTCACCGCTGACAAGGCCACGCACGACGTCTTCTAGGACTGACTGCAGGGCGGGCTCGAAGCGAGACAGGGCGTATCCTCGTGACCTCGGGCGGCTTCGTGTTCTTGGGGAATGCGGGGGGGTGCGCACGGCGAGCCTCCTTCAGATTGTGCAAGACGCGGCCGCCCAGATGGGCAAGGTTTTTCACGACAACTGCTTCGTCCCTGGGCAGCTTGGCATGCTCGAGCAGCAGAGTAATGTCGTTCTCAATGACACCTTCGCGGTAGAGGATGTACAGTATGATGAGTCGCAGTCGATCGCTAGGTGTAATGGCCTGGTCATCCAATAATCGCACGACAGACTCGAGTATGTTCTTCGGCCGCCGGTTGTCCTCGTCCATGCCTGTCGCCAGGCTCTGCTCCACAGAAGCCACGTCGGGGAGCTTGTACTGTTGGAAAAGGTTCATAGCATCCTGCGCCATGCTCATATGCAGCGAGAATGATTCCTTCTGCGCGGCGAACTCTTTCATGCCGCCCAGCATGTCGCGCAAGTTGTTGACACTGCCAGGCCCTGTCTGCTCGTTGACAAAGGCAGGATTCGCCTCGAGGAACTTCTTAAAGTCGACCGTCATCCGCCCAATGGTGTCTTTCATATGCTGATGCCGGTAGTCTGTCCAGACCTTGTCCTTGTCTGTAATCTCGTAGTCAATTTCGGCCTCGTCGGGCGTGCCCTTGTCGGTGACGGTGTGGTACATGATCTTCTCACCCTCGCGGATGGGCAGCAAGTCGTGCGCCATGGCTTGGTAGGTGAACTCGTGAACGAGAGGGGCTGTGATGTCCATGGACCGGTCTGTGATGATGAGGGTGCTCGCCGGTCTGTTCGTCTGTGGCGGGTAGTCTTGGTTCCAGTTCGCATACGTGTCGAGCTCCTCCTGCACCATGCGCGCAAGATGCTCACACAGAACGCTGGCCTCGTGCATGGCATTCGCGGGTTTGTAGTACCGGACTCTGGGGTATTCTCCGAGCGTCACACAGACGCCGAGGATCTGAAATCTACCCGTTAGCGACAGTGCGCCGAAGGACGTCTGCTCTCTCGCCAGACCCTACCTTTTGCGCCAACCCCTGCAAGTGTTCCCGGATGAGGTCGTTGCATTCCGGGTTGTACAGGATCGGGAAGCTCCAGGGATCCCTGAAGGTGGCCAGGTTCGACTCGCGGGGGAAGAAGTCGATCGCAAGGGTTTCGAAGCAACGGATCATGCGCTTCCCAGGCGACTCGTCGATGCGGCGCCGCAGACGTGGGTCGACGACGCCGGTCCACACAAGGAACGCATTCTGGTATCTTCGTCGGTCCAGGTCGGCAAGCAGGCATTCGATGACGTGGGGTTTGGGCGAGAGGATGTAAATGGCGTCCATGGTGGGGTTCATCTCCCTCTTCTTCTCGATATGCTCAATGTCTGTTCAGGGGCGTTAGGCTAGCTATGGCTATGGGGGGGGGAGGGAGGCGGGCGAGGTCGGGTTCGGTCGCATACTGGCAACGTTGAGGTTGAGGACGTCATCTTCGGTAGCGACATTTTCAATCAGCTTGTTCGCGCTCTCGTCCACGACGAGGACCTTCCACTGCACAGGATCGTCTCGGTCAGTCTTGCATCTTGTCGTGTCTGGAGCGTGGAGGTTGGGTGAGGAAAGGGCTTGATGGCTTACGTCGCCTCGCGTGATGTTCTTGATGGTGCTGAGCAAGACTGGGCGAATGGTTAGGCTTCTGCTCCCAGGCCGTCGGAGAAGCGGTGCACTCACGATCACGCTGCTCCTGGATGATGGAAGGGCCGCCCATGGTAGCTTGCCTCTAGCCTCGTGCGTCACGAGAGCCCCGTGGAGGGAGATGATCAGGTAGGCTGCGTGGCTCGAATGCTTTGTCGCTGTAGCGGGTGCACAGAAAGAAGCAAGGTAGCGTCGGAGGGGAGAGAGCGAGAGGCGGTAGGTAGCAGGCCAGCGAGCGTGGTGGAATCGAGGTTCCCGTTACCTCCAGAGGGCGTCACCACTGTGAATGCTCCAGTGGGAGTTCAGGTTCCAGGTGTTAGCAGTCCAAGCCCACAGGTCCCGGTTCTGGCACGGTTCCATCTTGGGTCGGGTTTGGCTGGCTGGCGGGGTTTCAACTGTGGGCAGGCGGGAGCAGCGTGAGAGCTGTGCGGGTCGCAGCCGTGGTGGGGCACGTCTATGCGCCCCACCGACCCCTCGATATGCGGCTAACGGGTATTGAATTTGGGCGATCCACGGAGCACACCGACGGCCCGGAAGCACAGCAATGCAGACACCGCAATCACAGCAGTGCCAGCACATCAAGCACAGCAGTGCAGGCACCTTACAGCAACAGGGTACTGACTCATGGGTAGGTATCTCAAAGTCTACCGCCCTCAACCTGACCCTAGATACCTCTGCACATCCTCGCTGCCGTAGAACATTTCCCTGAGCTTCTCCCCCTTCTTCCTGTCTGCCTCGGCCTTTTGCCTGCTCTTCTTGGCGTCAAGCGTCACAGGCTGCTTCTTCTTCTTCTCCACCCTGCCTTTGAAGTCCTTTGGCACGGCGAGGCCGAGCCCGAGCTTGTCGTCCTTGGGCTTTGTCTTCAAAGGATACTGTATACCCTGGCCTTCGCTGCCTAAGCCTTTCCGGGCATCTGGGTCCCAGCCGTGTGACGACAGATAGGTGAGGCCCATCCTCGCCCTGTCGAGAGCAGATGGAGGATGTGAGTGTGCCACGCAGACCTGGTGGGCGATGGATGCCTCATGTTTCCGTCTGGCGGTAGCAGCTTTGCCGTCTGCCGCCTCGTCCAGTGGCTCAGTTGGCTCGTCTTCTACCAGCGGTACATGACACACGGCACAGTTTGCTGGTTGTGGCGCAGACGTCGTCTGTGGCTTCTTTTCATCGGGCAGTACCAGGCTCATGTAGAGGTTACTGATGGAGGCGCCCGAATTCTCTGGCCTCGTGTCCTGTATCGTCGACACATCTGCGTCAGACGCCTTGACAAACTCGATGCGTTGTCGCCTGATGCCAGAGCCGAACGGCTTCTTATGGTGTAGGGGCACCTCATACTCGTCGTCGTCGTCGTGCTCCTCATTTTCTGGATCCCTGACGGCCGCGTTCATCTCGGACCCGATCCTGACGGCCGATGGAGCCGGGCAGCCGGGCACACGAAGCAACAAGCGGTGATGGATGAGATGCAGGGCGAGATGGCGATGATGTTGAGTCTGAGTTGGCCACCAGACCAATACCGCAGCCTTCCCTTGTTAGTGGTGTCAGCATACCCACCAGTACCAGGCAAGCTAGGTAGGCACTTGGCGCTGAACGTCAGCACCCCGGCCCCTGCAAGATCCAGCAGCCTCGCCCCACCATGCCGCCGCCCTTCCGCGCCCCCCTGCCCCTGACTGAATTCGTTCGACTGCCGACCTTGAGCTTCCACCACATACATGCCTGCCACATCGTCAAGAGGCCTACCGACATCCCCCTCCCTTTTCGCCATGATACCGTAAATCCAGCGCGTCCAGTCCCGACCCATCAGACTATGGCGATCGACCTCGTCTTCCACTTCCTCCGGGAAGGCCCACCCACCTGGGTCCGCGACAACATCTGGCTCATCGTCAAGACCGCCGCCACCCTCTTCGCCCTCTTCCTCGTCAAGGTGTGGTCCAATGGCGCCAGCAACACCTCCGAGCTCAAGATGCACGGCCGCGTCGTCATGGTCACGGGCGGAACCTCGGGAATAGGCGCCGCCACCGTCCTCGACCTCGCCAAGCGCGGCGCCCAGGGTCGTCCTCCTCACCCACGCCCCCGTCTCCGACCCCTTCCTCGTCGAGTACATCAACGACGTGCGCGAGCAGAACCAAGAACCACATGGTCTACGCCGAGCAGGTCGACCTCTCCTCGCTCCACAGCATCCGCCAGTTGCTACGAAATGGATCGACAACGCGCCGCCGCGCCGCCTCGAACAATGGATCCTCCCTTGTTGCGCCGCCACCCTTTACCCCCCGCCCGCCAAACCCCCGCCAGGTGACCGAACGAAGGCATCGAGCAAGAACGTGGGATGTCACACCTACCTCGCCAAACTTTCACCTGCTTCGGGCATCCTGAGACCCCTGCCCCTCCGCGCCCCAGCCCTTTTGAACCGCCGAACGTTCGCCGTCGTCTTCGGTCACCGTGGCCCCCTCCCTACATCGGCCTCGGCCGCCCCCTGTCCGCGGGCCCCTCGACGACAAAGAAGCTGGGACGGACGGGCGGCCGCCCTACCAAGCGGGAGCAAAGCTGGGCGCTTGACGAACCTTTGGGCCTCGCCTTTCCCAGGAAGCAACCTCCGACGGCCTAACAAAGGCGGGCCCGACGGGCCTGCCCATGAACTCGCGCGTCATCTTTGTCGACCCCGGCCTCACGCGCACGCCGGGCATGCGCCGCTGGCTCACGCGCGGTACCCTCTGGGGCCTCTTCGTCTACCTCGCCACCTACCTCCTGCCGTGGCTGCTCCTCAAGAGCCCCGAGCAGGGCGCCCAGTCCATCCTGCACGCTGTCATGGAATCGGGCATGCGTCGGGGCCCCGGTGGCAAGCTGATCAAGGAGTGTCGGGAGGTCGACTTTGCCCGGAAGGACGTGCATGACGAGGCGGCGGCCAAGCAGCTCTGGGAAGAGAGCGACAAGCTGATCGAAAAGGCGGAGAAGGACGCCGCCATTGTGAGGGCGAGGAACAAGAAGCAGGCGGAGGACAAGGGCAAGAGGGAGGAGGAGGCGGAGAAGGAGAAGGAGATCGAAGAGCTAGTCAGCAGCATCAAGAAGGGAAAGGAGGCGCAAAAAGCCAAACAGAAAAAGAGCGGTGTCGACGAAAAGCCCAAGGGCAAGAAGAAGTCCAAAAAAGCGGACAGCTGATTCGGCTCAACGCAGTGCCATCAGCATTATTAGGTATGTACAGAATAGATGGATCCATGGTAGGTTGAGGAGCTGGTATCTTTTCTGCAATGGCTCACGCAAGATGCATAGATAGTGGATAGACCACAGGTGTACTTTATACAAAAGAACATCACTCTACGTTATTCAAACTCGTTCAAATCATGCCGAGTGACGTTTCCCAGAGTCAGCGTCAACTCCCAGCAGTCAACATGCCTGTTCCCTCATGGCAATCAATGTACTCAAAACGTTGCTGCTCCGGCTCGAGTACCAACACCTCGTGGAACAGCCGCAGGCTCATGCTATCCCCAAGCTTTTTGGCATATTTGGAAAACCCGGCAAATATCTCGAGATGGGTGCGGTGCTCTTTGCTCCATTTCTCAAGCGATGCCAGGCTGTCAAAGTACGCCAGCCCAAAGGTCTGATCCGTGCCGCCCGTCTGCGTCACGGGATCGACAATCTCCATGAACCGACAGCTGAAGCAACCGACTTGGTCGCCTTGGTCGCGGAGAAAGTCCATCCCCTTGACCAGCACAGTGTGCATCGTGTCCAGATACAGTTGCCGCTCCTCAGGCGCGGCGACGGACCAGTCCTGTCCGGAGCGGATGACGACGAGATTCTTCTTCCCCGGCACAACGCGGCGTCCGGTGGCAGATGGAGGGGCGGGCGTCTCGTTTCGTGGATGGATGTGGCTTGTCTCGCCGACGAGGGCATCTGTTTGTGAAATGGGGAACCGATCACGCATGCTGCCCCAGTAGACGTGCTCCTGGATCGGGCCGCTCATCGTCTCGCGCAGGTTAGCTGCCCCTTGAGGGACCTCTGTGGTGATGACGGTTTCGAAACGGTCAATGGTCGGGTAGAAGACTTCCAGGAACCAGCCATGCTGGTCGGTGCCTGGTGTCAACTCGTCCCACCACCGGCCGAAGCCGCTTGTGGCGAGCCACTCGTCGTAGTTTGCCTTGCTCTTCCAGTAGAGCAAGACAGCAATGTTGAAGTGTCCCTGGTTATCCGTAACCGCGGCGACTTCGTGGAAGCCGGGACGTGAACGCGGACTGCTCAGGTCGATGAACGATGAAACAGCCTTGATGGCGTTCCCATCATTTCGCGACGCCGATGGGTATTGTGCACCAACAACAGCCAAAACGAGGTCTTTGGTGGTCCTGGGGAACCGGGAGGTGTAGAGTTCAAAAGGAGGGTCAAAGTTGGTGGGCATGTTGGGGGGAATCGTACGTTCCCTCACAAGCCATTCAGGGATTGCAGATTCGACCTTCATGTTGAGTGCCAGTTAAGGAGTGTGATACGAAATAGAGCCCTGTTGTCGATTTCTTACTGCAAAATGAAGGTTCTTGCTATCATATGTACTTTGCCCTTCGCCACACCCCAGACACCCAACTTGACAGCCATGATCACAGCAAGCGAGCAGCGTCACGATACGCCAGTGTCGCGACGACTTTTTGAAAGTGCCGATGCGACGTCACGGTTATCTTGGACTCGATTGAGTCGGGAAACACACTATTGTTGATCAGGGTAGTGCTCACCCGGACGTAGCTCTTGGGCTGGGACGCCGTCCCCCGCAATCCTGGGGTGCAGATCATGGGGTCGGATAGGGTAGTCAATACCCGGCACATCATCAGTGCTGCATGACCGATAGACGATGAGACCTCGCACCGCTCATCTCTGGGTCATCATCCTGTCTCAAACCGATCCGGCGGTCCGGTGTCTCAAAACAGGACCATACGGGTTGAGAGAGGGCGCATGAGAGGATAGGGTATTTCCATCCCGGGTGTGCCTGGTGTCAAGGGCAGGGTAATGCTTGTCCGAAGATGCGGCAAACAGCAATGGGATAGAGTCAAAGCAATGTTCTGAAGAATTTCGTGGTCCTATTAGGATTCTGCAAAGTAAAAAAGGACAGTCTTTCGCTGTCAGTCCCAACTGAAAATACCATGACTTGCCATCATAGACATCAGAACCCAAACCCACAACATCAAACCCTCATTCTCCCAGCACAATGGCCCCCAAGCTCAAGATTGCCGCTATCCAGGCCGAACCTGCGTGGAACGATCTCGAAGGTGGCGTGAACAAGTCCATCGCACTTATACAAGAGGCGGCCCAACAGGGTGCCAATGTCATTGGCTTTCCCGAGGTCTTCATTCCCGGTTACCCTTGGTGAGTCCAAACAACGCATCACTATGGCCTCTAGGTATTTTATTGAGCTTTACTGACCTGTCATGGCAAAGGAGCATCTGGGCTCAGTCTCCCACGGACAATGCTGCGTTTATGGATGAATACTTCCACAACTCTCTCGTCAAGGACTCGGACGAGATGAGGCGCATCTGTGCTGCGGTCAAAGAAGCCGGCGCTTTCGTCGTGCTCGGATACAGCGAGCGCTTCAAGGGCACGCTTTACATTGCCCAGGTATGCTACAGCCGGTGCATATAATATAGTCGTGCAGGAGGCCCAGAAGCTTATAGTTTGATCCAGTCTTTCATTGACGAGAACGGCGTTATCGTTCACCACCGCCGCAAGATTAAGCCCACTCACGTCGAGCGCGCCTATTGGGGCGATGGGCAAGGCGAGTCGCTTCAAACAGTCGCGCCCAGCACGACTTTCCCTGACGTCAACATTGGTGGCCTCAACTGCTGGGAGCACACCCAGACTCTCTTGCGGTACTATGAGTATGAGCAGAATGTTGATCTGCACGTGTCCAGCTGGCCGCCGATTTGGCCGCAACCCCTTCTGCCGAACGGCGAGCAGAAGTCCCGCCTGGCCGGCTCATATTACGGACGAGATGTGTCTGCGGTTCTCACAGATTGTCGCCCTCGAGAGGCACTTGCTTCGTCATGGTGAGCACGCAGATTGTTCGCGAGGAATCAAAGAAGCGCTGCCGGATCGACAAGTTCGACTACGCCAGCGCCGTCCAGCAGGGCGACGGCGGCGGCTTCAGCATGATCTATTCACCTTGGGGCCAGGAGCTTGCGAAGCGTCTGCCGCCTGGCGAGGAGGGCATCCTGTACGCCGACGTTGATCTCGCGGAGAAGACCAAGGCGAAGCAGAACCTGGACATCGTTGGGCACTACTGCCGGCCTGACCAGTTGAGCCTCCGTGTCAACAAGTACCCCGCCAGGCCCGTTCACTACGCGGCGGACCCTTGAGGATCTCAAAGAGTCGTCCTGATAGCCGGTCCGGGCGGACCTGTCATGTTCGTTCGAGTGAGGGGTGGTGCTGATCGGGATGCCAAATCCAAGCTTTCCAGCAGGGACAAGCCTAGTCCAGGGTCTTGATAAGCGGATCGGCCGATTGGCCTCGTCTTGATTGCCCCTCAGCGCTGCCGTCAAAACTAGCCTAGTACAATAATCCAACCCACATTAGTGTCTCTTGATGGGCAGTCAGTATAACATGACGGGTCGCTGCGGCAGGTTCAACTGTGCGGAGTCGTGATTGATTCCTCGCGCTGTCAACATCATGTTCGTTCATCGTATGCTTCACATGTGGTTGTTGAGCTGATCCTCATGACCCGATGGCGAGGGCTCCAGCTTCGTCTCAGCTAAGCGACGAGAAAAAGAGGCAACGGGTTTCGCTCGCATGTCTCACTTGCCGAAGCAAGCACATTCGAGTAAGGCGCCAGCAGCCGGAGATACCCAAGATGCCTTCAAGTACCTGGCAAAGGTCTTTCGCTGACCCCAGCGCGGATGAAGTGCGACGGCGTACAGTCAGTCTGCGGCTTCTGTCAGCGGAATAGGACTGAGTGTAATTTTGCGCACGAGGAGAACAAGCGCAGGTCCGTGTGCCGCCCAGGAGATCGTACTCCTCATCTGGTGTGCTGACAGGTTTATGTTCGACCCATCTTCCAGACCTCCGAGCAAGAAGTTTGTTGAATCGCTGCAAGCGAGGATACGTCACCTCGAAGAGCAGCTAGCAGCAGCCGAGTCTCGAGCAACTGCCGAAGTTCCATCTTGTGACATCATCAACGACACCACAGACGTCCAGTCGGATCTCACTGCGCCCAACGAAGATGGAGAGGACCCCCTTTCCAACATCACTGCCCTAGTGGGACGCCTCAACGTCGCAGACGACGGCCAACTCCATTACTTCGGGTCACAAAGCTCATACAATCTCCTCAAAAAGCATGCCGATGATGTGGCCTCTCTGGAGCCGTCTTTGAAAATGCAAAGACAGGGCTTAGCTGCCGCTGCGCAGCTCGACAAACACGTCGCCATCCCCGTTGAGCTTCAGCAGCACCTCCTAGAGCTCTACTGGCAGTGGCAGAATCCTTGGAACTACGTGATCCACAAGGGCGCTTTCATGAAGAGCTTTAGAGGTGAGGATGATGGCCGACACTGTTCTCCTCTTCTGCTGTCCTCCATCTTCGCTATTGCCGCTAGATATTCGGATCGAGCCGAACTGCGTTCGATACCGGATGATCCAAGCACGGCTGGTGACGCCTTTTGCGACCAAGCCAAGATTCTGCTTCTTTATGAAAGCGAGGCGCCAACCATCACTACGGTCCAGGCCGCGTGCATCTTGGCGCTTCGCATCATGTCGGATGGCAAGGAAGCTCTCGGCTGGCTATACGCAGGTATGTTGCGCGAGTGACTTATATAGCACGGCGAGACGACAATCACAAGGACTGATAATATGTAAAAGGCAATGCCACGAGAATGGCCCACAATCTCGGCCTCCATGTTGATCTGTCCAATTGGACGTCCAGAACGCCCATGTCCCCAGAGGAGGTTGAGGCGAGAAAGGTCACATGGTGGGGGTGCTATGTGGTAGACAAGTGAGTCTGCTCTCCTTCGGCTCGCTTTGTTGAGTACCTTCGCTGATCATCCAGACTCTTCGCCCTCGGTCTGGGGCGTCCTAGCAGTACCCCCAAAATGAGTATCACCTGCTCCAAGCTCAGGACTGACGGTGACGAGGAATACACACCCTGGGTGCCTCCATACACTTCGTCCGCTGGTCTTTCATCCTTAGGTGTTCACTCTCGCATTCCATCAAATGCTTCTCATCTCTCGGACACAATGACGATTGCCTGCGAGGCAATGGACGCCATGTACGAGCCACACTCAAACGCACGCTTGCATGTCTGACGTGTTCCAGTTATGCTCCAAATAGCAAGCTTTCGTCCCATGAAATGGAGGCCATCGTTACGAAGGCAGACGTGGAGTTGAGGTCACATTACGGAGCGTTGCCCACGTACCTCCGGCTGACTGCTTCAACGCAAACGCCCATGCTGCCTCATGTTTGTCTTTATCAGTGGGTCCACCAAATGCTGTCTATTTGTCTCGGCGACAAGTGGAACGACTCGTCGTGGTAAGGCAAAATGCTGACGCGTATGCACAGCGTGCAGTATCATGCACATCTAATCCTCCTTCACAGGCCTCTTATGCAAAGACGAAACAGAACTATACGAAGAGCCAGTGACAATACTGTAGACCATGAGCCTGCCACAGCACTCACGGGGGCGGAGACAACGAGCATGCAGCAGCGTGTAGACATTCCGCGACAGAAATCACAAGACTGCTTCGACAATACAAGCAGCATTATACTCTGGTATGTTATCTGCACCACCTGTGGCACCCCATGAAGAGGGGGACCCTCGATGAGACTGACACGATATGAAGCGCCGCATTCCCATCGCAGCCGTTCATCTATGTTTCTCCGCTGCTGTGATCCACCTCATCGACGCTCGGCCGTCAAGCCCAGCAAGACAACAGGCAATCAGACACCTACAGACATGTGTCGACGCCCTCGAAGATCTTCGGGTTCCATGGTGTATGTGGAGCGGCCGCGCAATCCGGGCCATACAGTTGCTGGCCTCGGAATGGTATCACTGCGAGGACTTGACCCAGTTACAGTCGTGCACCGAGTCCCCCAGCGTAAACACTGGTGGGCATGGTGTACCCACGATAGATGACGCAGCAAGAAGGAGACCTGGGCCCGGGATGCCTCCAGAGTTGGCGGGCCCAGGGAGCAGCGCCGGCCTGGTCGAGACGCCTTTTACGTACGATGCTTGCACCTCGGATCCATTCACGGATGGTCTCGTGAGGGAATGGCTGGCCGAAATAGGTTACGAAATGTAAAACATGCAAAGTGCAAATACCAAACGACAGAAATGTTCTTCATTGTACTTGAGACGCAGGCCTCAATAAGAAGATTGAAGTACGAAGTACTATAGTATCATTATCTTACGGCCTTAAGGCGAGAGTCACACTTGCTCTCGTGAAAATGTACACTTAAAAGGGTCATGGTGCGATTCATGAAATTTACATTGTTTTAAAGAAGCAGACAATACATCTTGCAAAGGTCCGTCCTGAAACAAAGCCCAAGGCGCAACGCCTAATGTTTCGCGGGTCCTTTGCTTTGGTGCGTGAGGTTTGTTGGAGGGATAAGTCAAGCTTTGAGTAATTCACCTTGCAGAATAATAATTTCTTTCTTTTTCTTTTATTGGAACTGTTATCGCTTTTATCTCTGAAGACTGCTCTTAAGAAGTTTCAGTCCATGTCGAGACTTGGCTTTCCGATCCTTCGCGCCGAGTGCCACGACGAAGACTAGGAGAGCGAGGAACAAGTGGTCTCAGACACTCTCAGACACTGTGTGAGGGTATGAAGAAGAAAAGGAACCTGATTTTGAAATTATTTGCAAGTTCTGTTGAAGAGATGTTTTCGAGCTTGATTTAGTGAGAATCCCGAGAGCATGTGACACCACAGCTTGAGGACAACGACTTAGGAATCAAACAGTAGCATGCAGATACTAGAATCTACTTTTTTATTCGAAATAGAAAAACAGATTTGATAGAGGAACCCAAGCCTTGAACAAGGATGCAACCAACCATCGTCTTCAACAACTATTTACCATCGGAGAGGTTGAATTTGAGATGGCCAAGCGTTACAAGCCCCACTTCTGGCGATGAACCATTACGGAAATGACGACACAAGCCCGGGACGAAGAGAGCCAGACCTCGGCACTGCTCTCTCTATGTACCAACCTTGACTATTCTCTGCCTCGCATCCAGGAAGCAGCTGTCACAAATCTATATCATCGCATCGTTCACTTGGCCCATCACAAGCAACTCCGCGCTTGCTTCACTCGCGTCTCATCAAAATGAACACGGTCAAGCCACAGGCCCAACCGCTGCCTTCGCTGCAGACCGCCTGGGAGCGACACACGCCGCAGCCCAACCCTGCCACCTGCCACCCCGTCTTCTTCTCGGAAAGGCTGCGAAGACCGCCCACCGTTCTCGGAGGTGTGGGCAGTTTCAGCCCTGTCGCACAAGGGTACATCTATCGCGACTCGGGGAGGGCTGACAGCGATGCTGTACCGAAGCTTTAGGAAATCCAGGAAGATCTCACTTCGGGATGTACGGAGCGTTCTAGCCCCAGAAGCCCCCCCAGCGATGAGAATGGCGGAATTTACGGCATCAACCCTCTTGCGCTTTCGGCCTTTCGCATTCATCATATATCCCAGCGTGCAAGAAGCGTAATCTTTGCAGGAGTGCGCAATGAGACGGGATGATTTGCTCCCACCTGGAACAAGTCCTTGCCACCTGCTTGGACACAGTCTTGAGTCATTCGACATCAAGGTCAAAGTCATTGGCATCAGTTTCTTGATTCCAAGGAGTGGGCGTTTGCGAGCTTGAGCTACTTCAGCCAACCAAGGCATTCATCGGATGGTCAATGGTGATGATGACAACGGGCAAGGAATCTTTCAAGCAAGATCTGGACTAAGCAGCATATGAAACTTTGGTATATACCCATCTTGTACTGGCAACAATACGTAGCGGTCAGAACTATTCCCTGTGGCGCTTTCCAACACCGCCAATTTTCGTGAAAAAAAAAGTATGCTCGATAGTTAGTGCTCCGATCACCATGTGCAGCCTGGGATGTTATGCGCTACTGAAGATAGGAGCTATGAGCGCAGGTCTGTGAGAGACTACAAGGACAATTGGGGGTACTCGATTTCCGTCGAAAAGTGCGCCTTTGACAAAAGAAAAGAACGACGCTCGTTAGGCCAATTGAGCCGACGAGGCCAGGGTAGTGTAGCATGTTACAAGCGCGAAACAAACACACACTCAGCGTGCCATCGCCATGCTGCCAAAGTCCAAATGGCTTTGCCCCAAAAAAAAAACAGTCCGCCTCCTCGAGCTTCCCGTTTTACCCCCGCACGGCAATCACTATGACCGACAGGATGAGGATGATGACCAGCGCCAGCAGCGCCATGAGCTTCACGTTCTTCCACCACATCTTTCTCTTAAGACCCCGGCTGCGAACGCGGAACTCGCGCGCGCTTCCGCCCAGACGATCGGTCTTGTCGACGAGGAGGTCGATGCGCTCGCCGCGCTCGAGCAGCCCCTCAATGTTGCGCGTCATGATGCCCCTGACATCGTCGATCTCGCGCTGGACGTTGTTGATGGCGTCGTCCTTGCCGCCGGACGTGGTGCCGTACTCGACCATGAGGCTCTTGAGCTCGCCATTGAAGGATGCGGCGCCGTAGTTGGGAAGATCGGCGTAGTCGGTCGTCTCAGGTGTCAGGCGCTCGAGGAAGCGGCGCCGGATCTCGAAGAGGAAGCCAAAGGGGATGCGGCGGCCCAGGCTGGCGTCGGCGATGACGAGGA